TTGTCTAAGACGACCAACTATTAAGTAAGGGTGAAAATTAAAGAGGATTTGGAACTTAAAGAGAGTTATTTAACTTATGAATTATAATTAGACCAAGCATTGATCTACCTTATGAATATAATAGGTTTTAACACCTGTGTAAGCCCACCAAGAAAAAAGCCGAAATAGAAGAAGAAAGTAAGGTTTGCTTTGGAAGCGGGAAGTTCAAGTGGTAGTTCTTCCTACCTTACACTTGTGTATGATTGATGTGCCAATATTGCTATTTTAAAATATAAAAACATGTAATCCTTAATTCCTTGCATAGTTTATTTAGCCATGGTCATTGGTAGTTGATAGATATGGGGTAGTGTTTGCCAATTATTTGTGCATTATTTATTCAACTTGTCTATCTGTCATTTGCTCACAAATGCTTTATGTGCATTGGCTTACAAGGTTATGTTTCATTAGCTTGTTTTGCATACTTTATATAATCCGCACACTTGTTTGATGGAAATTATTATTATGGGGATTTTTTGGAATCTCACCCTCCTTCCTATGATGTACAGTGAAGGCAAGCAACTCCAAAGAGAAAGAAATATTAAGAGGTAAAGGTGAGCTGGACTGAAGAGTAGGAATACCTACTTAGTATTGTACTTCTATAGTAGAATATTTTGATATTTATTTACCTATATTTCTATATAAATCATTTGAGCAAGTAATTATTACTTGCTCTATGTAAATATAATTTTTGTATCCTCCATAGAGAGGGGAACTCTACCAGGCACAGGTAAGAGCCATTAGCCAGGATAGTTGTTACAATATAACGTAATGTTATAGAATTACATGGTTTGGAATCTTTGGAGGTGAAAGAGATATAGGTCAGGATGGAGTGTGAATCATTTGTCAGTTATTCTAGAAGTTTAGATAATTTGAACAATTTCAATGTTATCTTCAGATTCAATTCCTAAATCGGAATTCTGCATTCAAATGGTTCATTTTTAAATTGGAAAAAAAATTATCCAGTTTTTTTGCGGTCAGAAACCTGGTATTTAGTGATTTATAGAGATTATAATGACCCTATTAATACATAGAAAGTTAGGTATTGTGGATTGTCTTAGAGAAACTTAAAAAAAAAATCCCAATGACAAGATACATAAAAAAACTTAAAATAAGCTTTGACGGTTTAAGTGATGATTTGGAGAAAGAAATATTCATTGATATATCTTGCTTCTTTATTGGGATGGACAGAAACGATATAACACAGGTATTGAATGGTTGCGAACTATTTGCTAACATTGGAATCAAAACCCTTGTTGAGTGAAGCCTTATAACCATTTATGAGAAAAACAAACTTGGTATGCATGATTTGTTATGGGACATGGGAAGAGAAATAATTCACGAACAATCTCCAAAGGAGCTTGGGAAGAGAAGTAGGCTGTGGTTTCATGAGGATGCACTTACTATGTTATTCGAACACATGGTATTTTACATGTTAGGCTTTACTATTTTCTATTATGTGTATTGCAAGAAGCACAAATGAGCATCAATTGATTGATCATGTAAACCATTTGATTTCATCTCTCTTATTGTACGCATTTTAAAACTCATTTTATATAACACAAGAACACTCAGTTTCAATGTGTTTCTTTTTTTCTTTTTTTTTGTAGGGAACAAAGGCTATTGTCACACAGTGAAAAAAATGCATTTTCAGATGGAAGCATTTAGGATGATGAAGATTGGTTCATCTTGAAAATGTACAAGTAAGGGGAGACTACAAATACATATGTAGAAATCTCATATGGCTTGCTGGCATGGTTTCCCATAAAGTACATTCCTAACAATTTTTATCAATAAAAATTAGTTGCTATATATTGACTTAAAATACAGTAACCCCAAACAAGTGTGAAAGGAATCCAGTGGTGTACTTTTGAGTGTAGAGGGAAACTTGAAGCTCAAATGCTATTGTGATGCTGATTGGGGGTTTGTCCTACTACAAGAAGGTTGGTCATAGGCCATCTCTTGAAGTTGGGAGGCTGTGGAAGACAAAGAAACATGCTAGAGTTTCCAGGTATTTTGCCAAGGTTGAATACACGGCTTTGGGCTCTTCTGTCTTAGAAATAGTGTGGATAGTTGGCTTACTCAAAGATTTTGGGGTCAAACATTTAGAGCCAGTTGATGTCCATTGTGATGGTAGAGAAGCTATGCATATTGCAGCAAGCTCAATGTTTCACGAATGTACGAAACACATTGAAATTGATTATCATTTCATGAGTAAGAAACTCCAACAATGGCTAATCAATCTGTAGCATATCCATTCTTCTAGACAAGAAGCTGACATTCTCACTAAGTCTATAGGAGTAGAAACTTTGAACAGGATGTTATCCAAGTTGGATGCTGATGGTATCTTTCACCCTCCAACTTGAGGGGGAGTATTGAGAGTGTGTCGTGTATTATGAGTACTGGGCCTGTAAGGCCGCGGCCCATTTGGGGTGTTTTGATATGGTTTGTTACCTGTGCATAATACAAATATTTGGGCCCCAGTCATTGCGCATCGGACCTGTTATTCAATTCACTAATTATACTTTTTTCTGGGCCAGTATTGTAGGTTCTATCACTAATAAAATTAATTACACTCCTCTTCAAATTCAAATTTAAAGATTATAGATAAAATCGGAGGGAATACTAAGAACATAAAACAAAATTAGTTGAACAGGTGTTAAGTTAATGTTTCAATCGAGTTGGCGATACTTATGAAAATAATATTTTACATTTCGTTTTCTTTTTCCCTAGCGTTTGCATTTCGTTTTATTACTTCACACGACTGATGCATACTGCATGGCTCTAGTCTCTCGATTTTGTATTTTGGTCGAGTCCTCTCTATCTTTACTCTTTAGGGACATTTTCGAGAATTCATAACGGTGTGGCCTTCCCAGTACATTCCCACAAAATTTAATGGATCCAAAACTATTTGGAATGACTAGAAACAGTTTTTTAATTGTGATTTACAGAATGTGAGATAAATATGTTAAAAAAATTTTATTTTATTTACGTAAAACATGTTAATAAGTGCTTTTATATATAAGTGATATCAAATGAGTATAGAATCAACTAGGTAGCCACTTTTTTTTCAATAGGGGAGAGGTCTTTCTATTTTCTTTTCTCTCCATTTTCATCCATTTCTCATATCAATCATTTCTAAAATTATAATTTGATCGGTTCAGATTTTATATTTTATAAAATTATGAAAAAATAAAATTAAAATATTAAATTTATGCCATGATCATTTAAAATAATAATAATATTTTATATAATATAAAATCTAAATTATTCAAATCAGAATTTTAATGGTTGAAATAAGCGAAGAAAAAGAGAAGAAAAAGTCCCTCTTTCACCTGCTCTAAAGACGAAACCACTGCCCAATTAATATCTCCTCCCACATGGAATCTTGGCCTCTCGTATTTCTTTCAATTGTTAATTGTTAAAGAGATATTAATGCAATGGTTTTGTCATTTTTCCTTCACAGCGACCAAAAACAACGTATCCACATGGACAGGCGGAAAGAGACTCACCTCTCCTGCGGAATTGTATGGATATACTCCCTCTTATTGATATTGATAATACAAAAAAAAAAAAAAAGTTGGTTAAGTTTTTTCACAAAATAAAAAAGGTAGTAAAGTGATTAAATATAATTTAAAATAATAAAAAAATTTTCTATTTTGGATGAAGTCCATTTGATATGTAATTGGATAAATTTATATAACGGAAAATTTACGAATCTTAAGCTGCCCGCTTGATATGTTTTCTCTACTTATTCTTGTAATTCCTTGCTGATTGATGATGTCGAGTCAATGCTCCTGTTGACTGCCGACGCAAGTGGGACCTATGGAAGGCTCCACGCATCTTTCAACTGTGATATTTAATACTGTCATAGATATTCGGAATATAAATTTATAAGAGCTAATAGCTAAAGAGTTAATAAAAGTGTACATGTAATTAAAATATAAAAGTTCAATACTCCTCTAATCCTATTTATAAATCACTTCTAACATGTTTCCCACGTATCAAGAAAAATTTTAAACTTCATTGATTTTCATTTAAAATTCAACAAGTTTTTAACTTTATCCTTATTTAATACTACTTCCGGTCCTAATTATAAGAGCCAGTTGACTAATTTGAAGAGATCAAGGAAGTAAGTTGAGTTAGTTATTTGTCCTAAATAGGTATTATCTTTCCTAAAATATTCTCATTAATTAAGTGTATTGACTAAAACTATTATTGTTAAAAGGGCTATTTTGAAAAAAATATATAAATATGATAGACAAAGTGGATTGGGGTCTTATATTTATGATCAAAATAAAAGTCAAATAGAATCTTATATTAAGGACCGGAGGTAGTATATGTTACATTTCATATAGATAGAGTCAATATAATAATAAATAAATAGTAAAATTGTATACCTATACAAAAATTCTTTTTTAGTGTCCTATAAATAGAACTAAAAATTGTTTTCTCTCTCTATTTTATTAATAGGATAAAAAAAGTACTCCTCTGATCCTTAATATAAGACCCATTTAACTAATTTGATTAGATTAAGGAAGTTAGGTAGGTTAGTTAATTATAAGAAAAGTGACACATTTTTCCCAAAACACTATAATCATCTTTCTTAATACCCTTTCTCTCTCTTCTACTTGATTATGGTTGAGGGAGTATCCATAGGAGTAATTTAGAAAAAATTGATAAATATGAGAAATTGGTCTTATATTTAAAACCAAAATTATCTCAAGAATTAGGTCCTGTATTAAGGATCGGAAGATTATATTTTAAAAATACAATTAACGGAGTCAAGTCAATGGCTGACATAAGGGCGGCTCCCCGTTTCTTTTTCCACAAACCGCTGATTGGATACATCAGGAGTATTATATACATTTTTTTTTCATTTTACTTCTTGATCTCCAACCCGTAAGTCTCTCTCTCTCTCTCCCCCCTCTGATCTTTATCGATCATCAACTACATTCGTGGCCAACCCAGCAATTCACAGGTAACTTTCCGCTCCACCTGCACTTTTTTTCCTGGTTTGATTGATGATGATGCTGGTTGTTCCACTTTTAACGGATTCTACTTCTTCTTCTTCTTCATTCCAACAGTCCAATATCTTTGAATCCCATACCGACGGAAAATTCGATGGGTCAGGTGAATATGCCTATGACACAGCAAGGTAACCGTTAATCATTTCATTTTCGGTGGGGAGATATTTTAGATGTCATACTTGAAAAATAAAAGACGTGTGTTAAAAAGAAATCAAATAGGGACATTATGATTAACACAAAAGAAATTAATTACCACCAAGAAATAATCTTTTGGCTCCTTTCGTACACTAGAAAATAGTTATAAAAGAGATAGAAGTGAACATATATAATTCTCTAGTCCTTAATATAAGATTTATTTAACTAATTTGATTGGATTAAGAAAGTTACGTAAGATAGTTAATTGTAAAAAATATTATATGTTTTTTCTAAAACACTATAATCATCTTTTTTAATATCCTCCATCCCTCACTTACTTGATTATTGAGGGAGTATTTATAAGGATAATTTAAAAAAATTAATAAATATGATAAATAAGTCTTATATTTAAGACTAAAATTAACTTAATGATTAGGTCCTATATTAAAAACTAGAGGAGGAGAAATGAAGATTAATGAAGGAAATCGGCCGAGCTATCAACTCTCAGCTTCAAAACTTTATTCAATCGTAGGGTTGGTACATATACTAATAGAAAATAACTGAAAAATATAAAAAAAGAAAACTTATGAATTTGGATAAATCTAATCTAGATGAAATCAGATACATTAGCTGATCTTATTTTCCTAAAATATCTTAAAGAAATAAATATTTGAAATAACAAAATAATAGATTAATGGGCCCTTAATGGGCTTGAGCCTTCTGGACGTTGGTCAACAAGAAACGGAAATGGATCCGAAAATAGAAATGGAAGCGGGTTTAAAAATCTGCTCGGGTCTGGCAAAAAAACAAAAAAGAACAATTCGAATCCAAAGGCGCCCAACATTGCCTCGACTACTTGGAATGCTAATGAAATTTTTATAGAATTTTATTATGCACATATATATAGATATATATATATATCCCTGTTACCGAAAGTTCAAAATGCGCTTGTTATTTATTATTAAAAAAAAACGTAAAAAGAAGCCGTCAACTGCCATCACCGGCATCACTTTTTTGCCATCACCGTCGATCTTTTTCTCTTTTATCTCCTCCAGACTCCAAACAAGCATTCTTCTTTGACACCAGAAGCTCTAGTTGCTGCCCTGCGGAAGCCAATTTAATGGAATTGGTTTCCGAATAGAAGCCTAATTCAGCATAATTTAGCTGAACCTAACCTGTACACATTTGTAGGTGTTTATGTAATTTAAAATGTAAGCAATAAATATGAGGAGTTCTTGAGTTTTCTTTCTTTGTTTTTTTGCTTTTTTTTAAACAAGGCACGTTACAACTCGAGAATTACAACAAAGACAGTCCTAGAAGCAATGAATACGAAGTGGTGTTGAGTTTTAGCAGAGGTGTAGAGACTCAAGAATATTTCGCTTCCTGTCTCTATTCATCTCTAAGGATGGGCAGGATTTCCGTTTTCAGAGATGATGTTTCAACTCAATTGTTGCGAAGCATTATTGAAGGTTCAAAAATTTCAATCATCATCCTCTCTGAACACTATGCTAGTTCCAGAAGGTGCCTTGAGGAACTCACAAAAATCATGGAGTTTCGCAGAGCATATGATCAGGTGGTTCTTCCCATATTTCATGGTGTGGATCGGTCCGAAGTTCGTAATCAAGAATATAGCTTTGGAAAAGCATTTCAAGGTCTTATACAAAGAATTTCACCCACCGAAGATGAAGTGTCAAGGTGGAGGACAGCTCTCAGTGAAGTTGGAGGCCATTATGGGGTTCTTGTGCCTTATTTCAATTCCAAGTAATTTATTTTTCATTTCATTTTGTGTTTTAATTATTTTCGATTTTCCAAATATTTTGCAGTCATGCTTAACCAACCATTGCTCTTCTGCTTTTTTTTTTATTAATAATTCACAGCAATCAAAGTGAGTATACTCAGCATATTGTCCAGTGTGTTCGTTATATATTGAATACAAAAGGCCCGTTTGCCACGGATGGCCTAGTTGGAGTTCGTTCTCAAGTGCAAGAAGTGATTAAAATGCTCCAAGATAACAAAACAAAAGATGTTGTTTCCATAGGTATATGGGGAATGGGAGGTGCTGGCAAAACAACTCTTGCCAGACTCATTTTTGACCACATTCAATTCGAATTTGAGAGTGCATGTTTTCTGTTAAATGTCAGGGAAGCTTGGGAGAGGAAAGGCTCAGATTCTTTACTACAAAATCTTCATTCAGTTCTCAATGAAGGAACAGATACGGTGACAATGCTTAGCGTTGATCAATCAGCATGCCTCAAGTTGAATATAATATCTTTCCAAAGGAAGGTACTTATTGTGCTTGATGATGTGAATCACTTGGAGCAACTACATGCTTTACGTGGAAGCTGGTTTGGTGAAGGGAGTAGAATAATCATTACAACAAGAGATTTACATCTACTTCAGGCCTTTCAAGTGGACCTTATACATAGCATGAAACTTTTGACTGATCATGAGTCCCTTCAACTTTTTGCTAGAAAGGCATTTAATCAAGCAAGTCCTGAAGGAGAACTCAACGAACATTGTAGAAGAATGATACTTGCCTATACTGAGGGACTGCCCCTAGCTATTCTATATACCATCTACATTGTGTATGGGCGGTCACCGATGGAATGGGAGTCAGCATTGATGAAACTGAGCACAAATATCCCTCTTGATATATACGACCAACTAAAGCACAGCTTTGACTCTTTAGATGAACATAAAAAAGAAATATTTCTAAATATAGTTCTATTTCATACTGGGGAAGACATGCATGATGTGATTCAGAAGCTGGATGGCCTTGGATGTAACCCTAGCACTGGGATAAGAGCCCTAGTGGATCGAAGCCTTGTAACCATTGACAACAACAAACTTGAAATGCATAATCTGTTGCAGCTCATGGGAAGACAGATAATACGTCAAACTTCACAAAATAAGCTTCCAAATCGGGGTAAGTTATGGTTTTGTGAGGATGCATGTGCTTTACATACATATTATCAAACATGCATGTATCATCCATAATATTTCTGACATGTTATAATCTTAAATTAGAAAGATGTTTATATCATAACATTATTTTAAATCACAACTTAATTTATTGATATTCTGTATTTTTGAAATATAATAATCAGGTCATAAATACGAGGTATTTTTGAGTTTTAGAGGTGAAGACACTCGGGCAACTTTTACTTCACATCTCTATTCGGCTCTATGTAATGCTGGTATTACTGTTTTCAAAGATGATGTTGAGCTTCCCAGAGGAAACCATATCAAAACGGAACTATTGCAAGCAATTGGAACTTAAAAAATTGCAATTATCATCTTCTCTAGGGAATACGCTGCATCTAAATGGTGTTTGGAGGAGTTGTCAATAATCATGGAGCTTCATAAATCAAATGATCAGGTGGTTCTACCCGTGTTTTATTACGTGTATCCAGCAGATATTCGTAATCAAACTTCTAATTTTGGAATAGCATTTGAAGATCTTATACAAAGAATTTCACCCCCTGATTATCAAGTTTCTAACTGGAAGACAGCCCTTGCTGAAGCTGGGGGCATTGCGGGCATCGTTGTACTTGGTTCCAGGTAATCTTTTTACTCTTTATTTGCTTTTTGATTGAGACACCTTATGTGTATTTTATATGTATGTATATGTATATTGTTTGTGCTGGCAAAAAATGTGTATTGTTTGGAATAATTGAAATATCAAGAACCAGTTTCAATACTCATCACAATAGTAAGTATCATGATACTCATCAAATCCCAACTGTACAAATTTAAAATGGACGGCCAAGATTTAAGTTTTCGAATTTTACTTTTTGAAAAATATTTTTTTAATAGATATATAATCCAAAATAAATATAATCTCTTAATTGTAAGATATTTAAAAAAATAATTTTTTTATTTAAAAATTTTAAATCTAAATCATTAAAACTATATTTAAATAATGCATATTTCACTATAACAAGGAGTATCATGGTACTCGTCTTTCCGGAATATCAAGGCATCATTATTAGGGACACGCCACACTTTAGCTTGTTCCCCATGCCGGTACAGTTTTTTTCCGCTCGCAATTTCCGTGAATATTTTATCAAATCGAGTACTGGGGCTAGCAAACTCCTCCTAGAATCATGCATGGCTTATTATAAAAATCAACTTAGCACAAGATATATGCGTTATCATTAATTGTGCTTCATTGCAAGTTTTTTTTTTTTTTTGGCATTTTTGACTTCTGAATTATTTATATTGCCACTAATTAACCGTGTGTGTGAACGAGCTTATTGCAAAATGGAGCCTTTTTTTAATCAAAATTATAAGCACATGATATGCATTGCATGAAGCCTAAAATTAAATAAGCTAGTCACCATTTCAATGCAAAATGGCCTCCACGCATCCAATTTTGTATAGATATATAGATGTAATGATGGAATCACAACCTTAGTCAAGAATAAAGAAAAATATTAGAAAAATATTTAAAGATTTGAGGAACAAGAAATAATCTTGTTCTCTGTGATTTACAGTAAAGTTTTAAATAAATGTGACCTTTTCAGATTATTTTATATCAAAGTCACTCCTATTGATATCTGTTTTAATTACTAAAGGATAAATTCTATATAAACACGCCCTAAAACCTCTTGTTTGTATGCCTTATCATTTCCTTCTCTTATATTTCTTCCTTGCTTCTCTCAAATTCTCTATCTCTTATTCTTTCTCTTCTCTTCTTCCTTTTCTCATTTTAGATCATATGAATAAGTGTGATATTTATTCATATAAACTATTCTACTCATAATGAACTGAATGTTTGTTTTAATATATTTTCTCCTCCTATCAATGCTACTGCGTAGGTCGTGTCACTTTCATCTATAGTTTTTTTTTAATAAGCCTTTGATCTATAATTTATTCATAATATATCCTCTTCTCCATACACATGTAGCTTGACTTTCTAGAACCAATACTCATTTTCTTTATAAATGCATATATGATTTGCAGGGATGAGAGTGAAAATGTCAAAGCTGTTGTTGAGAATGTTTGTGATATATTGGGCAGGAAAGGCTTGTTTGTCGCTGAGTACCCAGTAGGAATGGATAATCGTGTGCAAGAATTGATCACAATGCTCCAAAATCATCAATCTGAAGATGTTGTCATTGTGGGGATATGGGGAATGGGTGGCGTAGGCAAGACAACTATTGCCAAAGCCATTTATAATGAAATTGGTCCCATGTTTGAGAGTAGAAGTTACCTTCCAAATATTAGAAAAGTTTGGAGCCAAGAAAAAGACCAAGTGAGCTTACAGAACCAACTTCTTTCTGAAATATGTAGGACAACAAAAATGAAGATAAATAGCATTGAATCAGGAACAATCACATTGAGGGAGAGACTTTGCCATAAAAAGGCATTAGTTGTGCTTGATGATGTGGATGAGTCGGCCCAACTAAATGCTCTAGTTGGAAGTCGTGACTGGTTTAAATCAGGAAGTATAATAATCATCACAACTAGAAATCAACGTCTACTTCTTGAAATAAACTGTGGTGTTTATCTAATGAAGAATTTGGATGTAGGGGAATCTATTGAGCTTTTTAGTTGGCATGCATTTAAACAAGAATGTCCTAAAGAAGATTTTACTGAACTTTCAAGAGATATAGTTGCATATTGTGGGGGACTTCCATTAGCTCTTGAAGTCCTTGGCTCCTATTTATTTGGTAGAGAAGCCAAGGAATGGAAGAGTTTATTGGAGAAACTTAAAAAGATTCCCAACAGCAAGATACATAAGAAACTAAAGATAAGTTTTGATGGGTTAGATGATTTGGAGAAAGAAATATTCCTTGATATATCTAGCTTTTTTATTGGGATGGACAAAAATGAAGTAACGCAAATATTAAATGGTTGTGAATTCTTTGCTGATATTGGAATCAAAACCCTTTCGGAGCGATGCCTTGTAACCATTGATGAGAAGAACAAGCTTGGTATGCATGATTTGCTGCGGGACATGGGAAGAGAAATAATTCGTGAACAATCTCAAAAGGAGCTTGGAAAGAGAAGTAGGTTATGGTTTCATAAGGATGCCCTTGCCGTGTTATTAGAACACATGGTAGGAGTTTTTCTATTCAGTATTTACTGTTTCTTGTTAACATTTATTGTAAGAAGCGCAAATGATCGAGCATCCATAAATTGGTCATATAAACCATCTGATTTCTTCTCTCTTATTGTAAGCATTTAAAAACTCATTTTTTAGTGACTTAGTTTGCTTTCTGGCAAACATAGAACACAAGTGCGCACTTTAATTTCAATATGCTTTTATTTTTGTAGGGAACAGCGGCTATTGAAGGATTGTCTTTGAAGCTGTCACAGAGTGAAAAAATGAATTTTCAGACAGAAACATTTAAGAATATGAAGAGACTTCGATTACTTTGTCTTGACAATATACAACTTAGAGGAGACTACAAATACATTTCTAGAGATCTCAAATGGCTTTGCTGGCATGGCTTTCCTGTAAAATACATTCCCAGCAACTTTTATCAACAAGGATTAGTTGCTATTGACTTGAAATACAGTAGCCTCAGACAATTGTGGAAGGAACCCCAGGTATGTAAATTAGTACTTAATTTGTTGGCTTTTTTAGTCATAACAGCAACTGAAATTGAAAAAAACAAACTCTAAATTTTTATGACACAGAAAACCTGATTCTCTTTTAAAAAAAATTCAAAGAGAGAATCCTAATAAAATCCAACTAAAATATCTAAATTTAAATTAAGACGTACACTTTTAATAAATTCTTAATTAGGCCATGTGACCTTATCACGAATTTTTGAATGTTGCTGAATAAATAGAATGTCCTCTTTAATTAGAAAGAAAAATTAATTTGGTCTCTCATATCTTATGATTACTTTTTGAGACTAGAAAACACATAAGTAATTTTTACAGTGTTTAAAATTTGCATATAACTAAAACTTTCAAAAATATTTTAATCAAAAATTTTAAATTACAATATAAGACTCTTTAAATAAATATTTAGAGAAAAATATTTTGTTTAAAAAATATTTGTAATTGATATAAATAATATTTCAGAGCAGAGTAAAATAAAAATTATTTTTTATTTTCTGAATCGAAGGTTTAGCTAATAAAACTAAAGTAAATTATAAGAATATAATATTAAATATTTCATGTCATTAAAATATTTAAGATCTTAAAATAAATATCTACAAACAGCAAATAAAAAATATTTATTTCAAGGCTATTTATATTGTA